CATCACGAGGAGATGTGTGTGAGTGTGTGCCTTGGGGTTTGTGACCTGCCATCTGTGGGCGCCTGTGGATTGCAGGGTGTGTGTCCCTGTGCTCTTCTGTGTATCTTTCCAAGTGACGGCAAAACAGCTGGATGAGGTTTGCCCAGGTCCTCTCCCTTGGGTGGCAGCCAGAGTGATGTTAATTCATAAGACACCTGCTTTGTGCCCCTGCCCCAGCCTCAGTTGGACCCCGGAGGGTGGCCTCTTTTCTGCCACTCTGTCTAGTTTGTGTTTGACCAGAGCAACAACCTGCCCTCTTAAGGCAGCCGTCCAATGAGTTGTGGGTCCCAGCTGTGGACCCCTGGCCAGGGTTGAGATGGGAGGGACTTAGCCAGGGTGTTCTGCTGCAAAATGCCATCACAGAAGATCCCCCCCCCCCCCCCCGCCATATACCTGACCCTTTCATGGGTGCCGGGCTGTGTGGTACCCTCCTGGGGCAGGTTTTGGGTCTGTGGTGTCTCCCTTCATTTGAGTGTACCCACAAGCCAGGCGGTCATGTGTGTGTGCATGTGCCATGATTCATGCATCATCCCAGCAGCTGGGGGGGCCAGGGTTCACGGTGAATGTCAGCGGCAGACGGTGGGCGGCACAGAGCAGTGCGGTGTGAAGGGTGCTGGGGGAGTTCCCAGAAGCCACTGGAGAGGTCCCGACCTCAGATCAACGTGTGCCCTAGGCCTTGTGTGGGAGAAAAGTGTACCCAATTGGGGCGGGGGCTGCGGCTGGAAGGCATTTCTGGATGATTGTGTTGATGGGAAGGGGAGACTAAATCACCAAGTGCCGCAGCACCCCCTCTTCAAACGGCCTCCACACCTAGCTCCTTTGTTCCTCAGACCCATCCCTGCCTTGCCCTTTCCTCCTCACCCAGCTGTAATTCCCACTTCACAGATGGAGGAAGCTGAGGCTCATAGGTAAGTGTCTAGCCCAAGGCCTCAGAGTTCAATGTCACTGGAGCCCCACTGCAGGCCTCTGGACTCCAGGTCTGGGAGGGATGGCCGCCACAGTTCCACATTCCTCCACCTTCTCCTCCCCTCACCTGGGAACCCACACAGGGAACCCCTCTCCTGAGGTTCCCCACTAGGCCAGAAGGTCAAACTCCCCAGTACTCACTGCAGAGCCTTCCAGCAGCAGGCCCCGCCCCCTCCCCTCCATACTTCCACTCCGCCTTGACCTTTGTGAACCTGCACTGCACTTTCAATTCCCCATGGTTGCTGAGCCAGGCCCACTGCCTGGGATGCCCTTCCCCTGCTAAAACTTTACTTATCCTGCAGTGAAACCCAATAGACTCTCCCCGCAGACCGTCGGCTTCCTCCCTGCTCCCCTGTGATCCCAAAGCATTTTGCCGGTGCCTCCCTAGCACTCTACCTGTTTGGCTCTCACCTGGGAGCTGCTCTAGAACTGGTGGGTGCCCGTGATGAATGAATGACCCTGTTCCTCCCGCTGGCGGGACACCCTTCCGGCGGTCTCACCTCCGGGGCCCCCGCTGCCTGCTGAGCGCGCGCGCAGGGGGGACAGCCGCGCCAGGTGAGCCCCAGGGCGCCGCCGCCCTGCCCGCCGCCCTGCCCGCCGCCCCGGCCCTCGCCGGCTGCTGGCGCCTCTTCGCCCCGGTTACCGCTAGTGGCTGCTGTCGCTCAGTTGGGCCCAAGGAGACCGCGGCCAGAGCGTCCACCGCGCAAGATGGTGGCTCCCGAGTCTCCGTGAGTGTGTGCGGCGGGCGCGGTGCCCGGGCCGGGCGGGGCGCCCCCTCCCGGAGCTTCCGGCCGGGTGGTGGGGGGGCGGCCAACCGGTGGGAGCCCTGCGGGCGGGGCAGCAGCGCGGGGGGAGGCGGGGGCCTCCGGGACCTTCGAGGGCTCCCCCACCACGCGCCCCCCAGAGGAAGTTCCCCAGCCCTCCGTGTCCTGGTCTGGGGCGAGCAGGGAGCTCCCACCTCGCCCGGCCTCCGACCTGGAGCATAGATCCCCCTAGGGGCTCCCGAAGGGAAAGGGCCCAAAGGGGCCTGGGGAGGAGGCTGGGGACTGCCATCCTGGGGCCACATAAGCTCTGTGTTTGAGGCTGACCTGCCAGGGTGGAGTGGGGACCAGAGACCAACACACAGTCACCCCAGGAGCCCCCCAAGTTGTGGCGGCTGACGTCTAGGTGGCCAGGGTGCAGAGAGGTGTGGGGGACCTGGGCCTGACAGGTGCACCGCCCTGGTCAGCCTTGGTCACATAGTCACATTTTATTTACAGCCCACCCCGTCCAGCCTGGTTCCCTCAGGTTGAGGTAACTTTGGCTGGGTTGTTTTAGAGTAGCGCTGTCCGATAGAACTTTCTGGGGTGAAGTCAATGGTCTCTGTCTGGGCCATTTCATACAGTAGCCAGTGGCTATCAAGAACTTGAAATGTGGCTAGCGGGACTGAGGAATTCTACAATGTTTTTCTAATTCTGATTAATTATAAACAGCCACATGTGGTTACTAGCTACCATATTTGACGGTGCAGTTTCAGAATCCATCTTCCCATGCATCCTCCCTACCTACTCGTCTGTTCTTTGATCAAAAACATCCTAGGTCACATAGTAATTTTATCCCTCTGCAGAATGGGGCAGGATAGCCAGTTCTAGGTATATGGAAAGGAGCTGACAAACTTCCAAAGGGTACCACCTTGGAATTGCACCTCCTCCACATTCTAAGATCCTTTGGGTGGTGAGCTAGACGGGGTCACAGAATCATGGGATCTTGGGAGGAAAGGAGGTCAAAGGCAGCTGTTTTAGCCACCCAACAGGTGCCCAAGACAGCACTCATTGTTCTCTCTGCTTGAAAGCTGGTGGTTCCTTATTCATTCACTCCCCAAATTTTGTGGAGCACCTGCTGGGTGCCAGGCAGCATTCCCTTCTGTTCAGATGTGAATAGGTTAGCTACCTTTCCTGTCCTCAGGAAGCTTGCATTCTTGAGAGAGAGGAAGAAGAAGGAGAAGGAGAGAGAGAGCGTGCCAAGCAATAGAAATGCAGAGAAAATAAGCAAATTTGTAAACCGTGAGGAGTACAGTGAGGGAACAAACAGGAAATAGTGACAGAAAAGAAAAGGACCTCCTGGGAAGGGAAAAAGAAGTCTCCTTGGAAGAGGGGACCAAAGGGGAAGTGAAATAGGCAAAGTGTTGAGAGGAGGTGGAGACATTCTGGAAGAGGGCACAGCATGTGCAAAGGCCCTGGGGACAGGAACCTGGCACTCTGGAGGAACTGAGGAAAGGCTGATGTAGCAGGAAGGGGAGAGAGGCACAAGTGGCCACCAGAGACGTCAGCAGTACCAGACCTCGAAAGGGATCCTGCCACTGGCCTCAGACAACAAGAAATCACAGAGGGGTTTTAAGCAGTATGTTTTCAAAAGCCCCCTCCAGCTGTTATTGGTCCAGACGGCTCAGAGAAGGGTAAGAGTGGAAGCCCAGAGTGCCATCAGGAAATGACTGCCGTAGTCCAGGCAAGAGATGCATGTGCCCTGGACAAGGCTGGTAGCAGCGGCATGGAGAGATGAGACAGGTTACAGGCAGATTGTGGAGGGTGAACCAACAGCACCTGTGGATAGACCAGCTCCAGGATATGGAAGAGAGCAGGGGCTGGAGGGGCAGCTTTCTGGCCAGAGCACCTGGGTAGGAGAGCAGGCGTTTCCTGAGATGGGGATGACTGGGAGAGGAGCATATCTGTAGGGACAGATCGACAGCTCCATCTAGACAAGCCAGGAAAGTGGTTGGATGGAGAGGTGTGGCACCCAGAGGAGTGGCTCCGGCTGGAGTGGTTTATTTCAGGGTGACCAGCAGACATGGTTCTGAACTTTCTGGACAGTTTTAGGTTAGGAAGAGGAGGAAGAGATGACATCAGAGGCGGAGGGGTGCTGATGGGGGAAAGGAAAGCTGGGAGACATAGGGTCTTGGAAGCCAAGAGAAATGCATGTTTCAGGGAGGGTGGGGTGAGCAGTCCCAAATGCCACTGAGAGTTTCACTGCATCGGGCAATAGGGAGCACCTTCCCTTGCACTGAACAGGCTGCCCCTGGCATTCTGTTCATCTGCCCTTTACTTATCCACTAAGTGCTAGGTTCCATGAAGGGTGCTGGGCATATCAGGAGGACAAGACAATCACTGCTTTCTCAGAGCCCAGTCATCTAACCAGTAGCCTTAGAAACAGGCAGTTCTTTCATACGGCCCAAATCAGTCCTTCCATTCTCTTAACAAACTTTTGCTCAAAGGCATCTTCATACCGAGCCCTCTACAGGGGCTTAGGGATCCCAAAATGAACAAACGTGATCTTGGCCTTCTAGGAACCAAGTGCAGAGATACATAGAGAAACCCTGAGTTTACCGTATTGTATTATCAAGACCCACACCCAGAGAATTATGGGAGACTAAAGGACAGGCACCAGCCCCAGTTGGGGGGATCCGGGTGGCAGAGAGGATGCAGAGCTGCTCTCCAGGAATGAATGGGAATTAGCCAGGGAGGAGGGATAGGAAATCCCAGGCACAGAGGATGAAGGCAGAAGCAGAGTAACAGCTGGGTGTGTGGGGGGAATGGTGAGCCTCTGGAGCTGGCGAGCAGCCAGGAGCAGCGGGAGGCTGAGGAGGACCTTGCTGGCTCATGGTGAGGTGTGTAGATTCAGGCAACCACTTAGGACACCCGCGAAGAGGTGGAAGCAAGGGAGTGGCCTTTGTGTGAGCTGGTTCTCTGGATGCTGAGGGAGGGACGAATTTGGGGGTGTGACTGCAAAGGTGGAGGCAGATGTATAATCCAGGTGAGACAGTGCAGGCCAGAGTCTCAGCTTGGCCTTTGGGGTCAAGTGGATGTAGATTTCTTTTCTTTTTTTTTTTTTTAGATTTTATTTATTTATTTGAGAGAGACTGAGCATGAGTGAGGGGTGGGGAGCAGAGGGAGAGGGAGAAGCAGGCTCCTCACTGAGCAGGGAGCTGGATGCGGGGTTCGATTCCAGGACCCTGAGATCATGAGCTGAGCCAAAGTCAGACGCTTAACTGACTGAGCCACCCAGGCGCCCCTGGACGTAGGTTCTAACTCTGCCTTGGCCACTTTCTGCTTGTGGAACCTTGAGCAAGTCACTTAAGGTCCCCCAGCCTTGGTTTCCTCCTCTCCAAAATGAGGAGGTTACCACCCTCAGAGAGTACTTGCAAGAGTAATCTTGGTCTTCTCATGGAGTCACTGCAAAGTCCTTAGCACAAGGCCTGATGCAGTTCCCACTTGACAAAGGGTAGTTACTGCTGTCGTTACGAGTGGGCATCTAGGGGACAGGGTTGAGGGATAGTAAGGAGGTAGAGGTGTCTGGTTTTGGCCGTTGGCAGGACGTGGCCTCTGGTCCTGAACTGTTCACCTGGCCTCATGCCTGGGATGGTGGAAGAGTGAGCAAGGTACAGTTGGCCAGCTAGCCCCTTAAGTCTGGGGCCCGCCCCCACTTCTGGGCTTCCCTACCCAGCACCACACTATCAGGGTGCGTGTGTGCGTTTGAGTGTGCCATGTATAGGTTTAGGGAAGGGAGGCCCGGTGAAAATGAATGCCATTCTTTGGCCCCGTGGCTCTGGGATCTCAGCTTTGTGCTAACTTCATTCTCATGAAATAAATGATTGTGGACTGAAGAGACTGGCCATCCTTGAATGAGGAGTCAAGGTCCAATCCTGGCTCAGTCACAGATTATTCATGAGCCCTGGGAACCGCTGTCACCTGGACTCAGTTGCACAGATTGGTGCCAGTCTTTCCAGAGCCGAGTTCTGCCATGCTTTCAACAGTCAAAGCTCATCAGGGCCTTGTCCCGGATGGAGGGAGACCCTCAGAGTGGGCTGGGGCCCCCAGGCCTCCCCCCACTTTGGATGACATTCTGTGGCCCTTGGCATGACCCCACCCATTCCAGTAGCCCTTCCCCGTTAGGTGCTGTGCCCCGGTCAGTTGGGGAGTGCTCTGTGGGCAGCATGAACCCACGGTGGACCCCCTAACACCTCTCCCTTGTCTCTTTCATCTCCAGTCTCCCACCGGAGGAGCAGGAATAAACTTTCCCAGCTAAGTTAGATGGATGGTCCCCATTAGCCCAGCGTGCTCCCCTCCTGCCTTCCCCACCAACTTCCATTGTCAAGGGAGGTGCCGCGGTGTGTAGGGGGAGGCTGGGGGGCCAGAGCACTTGGGTGGGGGTTGGGGGTGCCCTGCCCCTCGAGCAGGAATGGTGCCCCCAGGGAAGAAACCCGCCGGAGAGGCCTCCAACTCCAACAAGAAGTGCAAGCGTTACTTCAACGAGCACTGGAAAGAGGAGTTTCCCTGGCTGGACTTCGACTATGAGCGGAAGTTGATGTTTTGCCTCGAGTGCCGCCAGGCCCTGGTGCGGAACAAGCATGGCAAAGCAGAGAACGCCTTCACCGTGGGCACCGACAACTTCCAGCGCCACGCCCTGCTGCGCCACGTGACCTCGGGGGCCCACCGCCAGGCGCTGGCCGTCAACCGGGGCCAGCCCACTTTCGAGGGCCACGCCGAGGGAGGAGGGGCCTACCCAGACCTGGAGACGCCCCCCACCTCCAGGGGCGTCAAGATGGAGGTGGACCCGGCCAAAGTGGCCGTGCTGACCACGGTGTACTGTATGGCCAAGGAGGACGTGCCCGACGACCGCTGCTCCGCCCTGCTCGAGCTGCAGAGGTTCAACCTGTGCCAGGCCCTGCTGGGCACAGAGCACGGCGACTGCTACAGCCCCAGGAGGGTGAGGGACATGCAGGTGGGTGGTGGCCAGAGGTGTGGGGGAGGGCTTGAGGAGGGAGGACATCGAGCCCTCTGGGCACAGCGCCAACATGCCAGGCCCCCGGGCAGGAGCCAGAGAGCTTCATTCATACCTTCACCCAGCAGAATCTTTCAGAGCCATGCTATGTGCCAGGCCCTGGGCCAGCTGCTGGGGGCACGGCCACGAAGAGGCCAGACCAGGCCCTGTCCCCAGGGGTGGGGCAGAGGGGCTTTCCCTCCCAGCAGAGGCCAGAGGTTGCAAGCTGGGTAGCCTGGGCTTGACTGGCCCACAGATGTATCTTGTTGATTTTCACAGTGTTTTTGGAAAACCTCACTTAGTTTCCAAGTTAAAAAAAAGAAAGAGAGATTACATATGAAAATGTGGGTTTGTGACTTCTGAAAAGCTAGGTCCCTGTGCCCTCAGGGCATGAAGAAGACCCACGGCTTCTCCATTCCTTTTGGTCTATCCCTGGCCCACATCAAGCCCAGTACCACCCATGTGGCCCCTCGGGGCATGCAAGTTGCAGTTCTGTCCTAGGTACCAGGTGTGTGAGTCCTAGGGACTTGCGTGAGGGTGGGGGAGTTAGATCTCATCCTATAGAGAGCTGACACGCAGACAAACAGAGCACACAGTTGGGGCTCTATGTAACTGGGAGGGAACATGTCTGTGAGTTAATTCCTGAGCGCAGAGTGGAGGGAGACCCCCAGGAATAGGAACCGGGGCCATGCCGTAGAGACACACACAAAATACTGCAGAATCTTTATGGTTCCTCAAGCATTTTTACACTTACCAGCACAGCCACAGAAAGTTACATTTTTAATTGACAACAACCTTTTAAGGAGCTGAGAGGCAAGTAGTAGCCTGATTTCAGAGCTGAGGAAACTGAGGCTCAGAAAGGTGAAATGACTTGCCCAAGCTCACCCAGCCAGTAAGCAGCCAAGCCAGGATTAGTCTGTCTGCGCCCGAGGCCTGTGCCCTTTCTGTCTTCTGTACTGCTACCTCCCCTGCTCAGGACAAGCCTAACTCTGTCCCTCCCTTTCTCTCCCTGGCTGTCCCAGGTGGCCATTGCCAGTGTCTTGCACACAGAGGCCTGCCAGCGCCTGAAGGCATCCCCGTATGTGGGGCTGGTGTTGGATGAGACCAGGGACTGGCCTGAGTCCCACAGTCTGGCCTTGTTTGCCACTTCGGTGTCCCCCTGTGATGGCCAGCCGGCTACCACGTTCCTGGGCAGTGTGGAGCTACAGGAGGGTGAGGCCACTGCTGGCCAACTCCTGGACATCCTGCAGGCCTTCGGTGTGTCTGCAGCCAAGCTGGCCTGGCTCAGCTCGAGCCTCCCCAGTGACCGCCTTGGGCACGTGGGCCCACAACTCCGCGCCGCCTGCCCACTGCTCACCGAGCTACACTGCCTCCCGGGCCGGACAGATCCTGAGCCCCCGGCCTACCTAAGTGAATATGAAAGTGTGCTGGATGCCCTATTCCGCCTCCATGGTGGCCCCAGTTCCCACACGGTCCCCGAGCTCCGGGCGGCACTGGACCTTGCTGCTGTTGACTTGGTGGGACCCCGGCCAGTGCCCTGGGCGTCCTTGCTGCCTATCGTGGAAGCAGTGGCTGAGGCTTGGCCTTGCCTGGTGCCCACACTGGAGGCCTCTGCCCCAGCCTCCCCTACAGCTAGGGCACTGGCCCTCGCCCTGCGCCAGTTCACCTTCGTGGCCTTCACCTACCTGCTGCTGGACACTCTGCCCACCGTGCAGAAGCTCGCCCTTGTCCTGCAGCCAGAAGAGCCGGACTTGGCCTTGCTGCAGCCCCTGGTGATGGCGGCCGCGGCCTCCCTCCAAGCGCAGCGCATCTCGGGTGGGGCGCGCCTCCAGGGCTTCCTGCAGGACTTGGCTTCCTCCGGCCCCGACTTGGGCGGTGGGCGCTGCACCTACCGCGGCGTGGAGCTGGTCGGCTACTCGGAGGCTGCCGTGCGGGGCTTGGAACGGCTGCGGGGGGCCTTCCTGGACTCCATGCGGAGGGGGCTGTGGGACTCCTATCCCGGGCCCTCGCTGGACGCCGTGGCCGCCTTCGCGGCGATCTTCGACCCGCGCGGCTACCCGCAGGCACCCGAGGAGCTGGGCGCGCACGGCGAGGGAGCGCTGCGGGTGCTGCTGCGCACCTTCGCCCCCGCCGTGGTGCGCCAGCGGGCGCTGGGCGACTTCGCGCTCTTCAAGCGCGTGGTGCGCAGCCTGGGGCGGCTGGGCCCGCGGGCCCTGTGCGCCAAGCTGGCGTGCGCGCGCTCTGAGCTGCACGAGCTCTTCCCGGACTTCGCCGCCCTTGCCGCCCTGGCCTTGGCGCTGCCCGCGGGCGCCGGCCTCCTGGACAAGGTGGGCCGCAGCCGGGAGCTGCGGTGGTGGGGGCAGAGCGGGGCCGGGGAGGGCCGGGGCGGCCCGGCGGTGAAGATCGCCGTGGATGGGCCTCCGCTGCACGAGTTTGACTTTGCGCTGGCCGTGGAGTTCTTGGAGAGTGGGTGGGCGGAGGGGCTCCTGGGGTCGCAGCTCCCGTGAGGGCGGCCGCCTTCCCTCCGCCCGGTCAGCCTGGGGCCCTGGGCGCTAGTCTAGGGGCCGAGGCGGATCTGACCGTGCTACACCCAAGCTGACCGCCTCACCGTGGCCTCCCACCCACCTGCCCCGGGCTTCCTCCGCTCGGTGCTGAGTACTGACCGTGCCCGGTGGGCTGTGGAGGAAGGGCTGCGTCACGGGAGGCCTGGGCGAGCCGGCAGAGATGCTAGGTTTGGGGGCACCCTCAATATCGCTCCTGCCCTTGCCAGAGTTTGGTGAGGAGTAGCTCACCTTTTTCCGTCTGGACCAAGCCCAGATTTGGGCCCTAGAAAAACTGAAGAGTCTTGGTTGGAGGGAGAGAGGAAGACTGGGTCTCAGGAATTGAGGGATTGAGGGAAGGGAGAGTGGGTTCTTGGCTGTTAGCTCCCCTGCTGGCAGCATCTCCTCTCTTCAGATAGAACTGGAGCAGATGACTTCCTTGTTTTTGACACACAGCACAGCACCCTCTCTGTGCACAAGCTACCAGTTCAAGGGAGGTGGTGGTGCCCTACCTCCCCTACCCACTGCGTGAGGCTCTTCTGCATATGGCTGTGTATATAGACATATACATCTATAAATGTAAAATAAACCTATCTTGCATATTGTTAACACACAAAAAATCTGAAAGGACTTCTTACGGTTTTGCAATGACAGGGTCCAGAAAAGTCCCGATGGACTGGATTTATTTCTAATTCTTTTCTTCCTCAGAGTCTGGTTGCTCCCCAAAGTTCCTAGCCTTTCCCTGCCCTTGCCTCAGACCTTTAAGACCAAAGACCTAAAACCACAGGGCTGGACCGGCCAACTCTGAGGACCAGCCTCAGGCCTGACCCAGGGGTTGGAGGGCTTTTTGCCTTCTGGAAGGAGTTGGGGCCTCACCAGAGCTAGGGGACAACATCCCTTCAGATTCCAACGGGTTTCCCGTCTTCTCTGTCAGCCCCTGCAGCGAATGATGTGGGGATCGGGAGGGGGGCAGTTAGTGAGAGGGGAGGGGGCTGGCCTTTCCCCAGGCCCCCTGGGTTTGGGTTTAACTTGCAATAAATGGAAACCCAGTACATCACAGTCTCCATGGTGGTGTGTGTGTGTGTGTGTGTGTGTGTGTGTGTTTACGCCTCTGCCCCTCCCTTGGCCTGATTCCCAGCTGGGGTTCATTGGGGCCCTCGGGCTGCCTCTGGAGGGGATGGGAGGGGCATCCTTCGGGGCTGGGAACTGAGAACTGTGCTCTCCCTGCTTCTGCTCCCCCCATTGTGGAGAGGAGAGGCACAGAAATGGGCTGTGAGTGCCCCGGGCTTAGCCAGTGCTGCTTTGTGAAGAGGGAGAGAGTTTCTGCCCTGGCTCCACACCCAAGAAGCCCACCAGCCTCTTTTTCTGGCCGTGGAGGTCACTGTGAGCCCTGTGGCTCCCCATTTCAGACCCTGCCCTTCTTCCTCCTGCAGCAGGCCCAGCCTCCAGTGCCCCCAGCCCCCTGCTGGCCTCCCTGCCCCTGCCTGCCAGGCCTCTGCAGCCCCCGCTGGACTTCAAGCACTTGCTCGCCTTCCACTTCAATGGCGCCACCCCGCTCAGTCTCACCCCCAACTTCAGCACGGTACGGGCTGGGCTGGTGGGTGGGGGCATGCGGCCGAGCTTCGGGGTGGGCAGGGAAGGTGGGCACAGAGGGGCTGGCTCTTGGAAGGTGGGTATAAGTAGGAGCAACATCCCCAAGAGTGACTGGGCACTCCCAAAACAGGGACCCCTGGGTCCAGCTTTCCCCGAGGCCAAGGAATGAGGATGGTGTCACCCCCTCCCCCGGTAATGACTGCTGGGCCTGTGGCCTGGAGGTTACACTTGAGTGTTTGTAGAGGGACATCTGTATGTCTGGGGTGTGCCCTTCTGTTTTAGTTTATGTTTCTGTGGGTCTTTGTGTGATACTTGTGGATGTGTGTGTATTTGTAAACAACTCTTGCGCCTTGGTAACTGTATGTAATTAACGTATGTGCCTATGTCTCTGAGAGATTTTTTGTCTTTGTGTTGACTCTGTACGTGTTTGGTGTGTGTCTGACCTCTGAGTGTGTGTGGGGGGGGGTTGGGTGATTGTGAGCGTGTCTGTGAAGTGTGCCATTTGTACTCCCGTGGGTCTGCATTTTTCTGCATGGCTCTGTGATTCGTACCTGCCTGTAGGCTTCTGTGCTCTGTGTCTCTGTATTTCCACATGTGCGTGTGTGTGAATGACAAGTGCAGGGAGCGTGAATTTTACTTCACTATAAGAAGTACCCCCCCTTTCTTTAATTCTGAAACATCAAATGTAATCATCAAGGAGCCCCAGCCCATCCTGACAAGATGGTGGGAAATTCAGTCTCAGTCATCCTTAGGAGTCCCTTCCTTTCTAACCTCCAGCGTCGCACAGAGGTCCACGGGAGCCTGAGCCATTTGGGGAGGGTCCCCTGTTGTTTGGTCCTCTCTTCACTTGCGGACGCACCATGTACACAGTCCCTTGGGAGTGGGTACAGCTTCTGTTGCCCGCATCTCTGGGGGCCCTGGCAGGCCGTGCTCCTGTCCCCTGCCTGCCCCCAGCCCCAGGTGCTGTTAGGTGAGGGTTAGACCCTCGTTCCGTTCCCTAGGGAGTTTCTGAAACCATGCTTTTCTCTCAAAGCCTCTGTTCTCTTCTCTCAGGGAGGTCTGGAAAGTTCCTCTTGATAAGCAAGCCCAGACAACTGCTTTTGGTCCAACAAGCAGCCCCTGAGGAAAGGGAACATAAAGGCTTGGTTTGATAGAAGGGAAAAAAAAAAAGTTAAGGAAGAGGGGAAAAAAAAACCCCACATAAATTAATATACCAAAGAAATAATCCTACAACTCAGGGACCGTCTGGCCTGCACGTGCTGCAACCTGCCCCTTCCTGGCCCCCCACCTGCCCTGGCCATGCCCTCACTCCCCGCTCAGGCCCTGTGACAGTGGCAGAGCTGAAAAGATAAGCCTTCTACCCCAGCCCACAGGCCCAGCACAAGGCTGGGTTATGGGAGAGGATTTCCAACAGAGAGACTCTTTGTCCCGTCCCTGTTTCTCCCTGCCCCCAACTCTGTCCCAATAGTTGTGATTTTTGTGAATAAGGAAAAAAAACCCAAACCAGAGACCAGTGGGGCAGCAAGAGAGGCCAAGGTGATCACCGGGACATGGTTGTTTTTCTCCCGATCACGGAGTTCACCCTGGCCATCCCCCCTGCCTCCAAGCTGAAGCCCGGGCGAACAGAGAAGGTCAGCCAGGGAAGAGATTGTTTCTGTGTGTCTCCTATCCACAGGGATGGGGAAGTTCTTCCTATGTCCCGATGCTTGCCGTCCTTAATAGTCTGTAGTTTCTGGCATTTTGTACTGCCTCCCCTTCCAGAGCCGACCCCAGCGTTATTGTGCCCTCCCACCCCCTTCACAGATGGACCCGATCCAGAAAGCTGTCATCAGCCACACGTTTGGGGTCCCCTCCCCTCTGAAGAAGAAGCTCTTCATTTCCTGTAACATCTGTCACCTGAGGTTCAACTCAGCGGTGAGAGGGAGTAGTGGAAACAGGCTGGGGAGGGGGCTGGGCAGGGAGAGGGTTGGACACTGGCTGCTGGGGTCTTTCCTGGAGGAATAGGGCTGGCAAAGGGACTGGGGTCCGTATTTTCCATCCTTGGGTGCAGAAGAGGCGCTCCTGGTCCTTTACCCATCCTGCCGTCTCTTCTCTCCAAATTCCTCTGCCTCATCTCTAGTGGCCCTGGGGCCTCCATTTCCCTCCCTTCTGCTTCTCTCCTGTGTTCTGGATCCTTCTGCAAGAGAAAATACTGCCCTTCCCTGCTCTGGGTCCCGGGGGCCCCAATCAGTTCCTGGTCTAGAGCTGAGTTCTTAAAGCACCAGAGAGTTAATGTGTTGAATATATTCATGCCCATCATCTTAATTAGTTCTCATGATACTTTGTGAGATGGATAGAGGTGCTGTTATCATCCCCACTTTTCACATGAGGAAACAGCCTCAGAGAAGTTAAGTGATTTGCCTGAGGCCACACAGCTGGTGAGTAGCAGAGCTGGGATTTGAACCCAGGCCTGGCTGACCCCAAGGCCCACATACTTTCTACCACAGCCTACCCCTAGATAGTGGAGAAGCCTCATTCTGGACTCCGAGGGAATATTTACCTTCTGTCTGGAAAATTCTGGGGCTTGGGGAGATCTGCTCTGGTGAAAGGGTCTAGGGAGGGGCCACAGGGGCCTGTCTTTCCTATACTTGGGAGCAATAAGCAGGGACCTCTGGTTGAAGGAGGGAGGACACTAACAGGCTAGATTCAGGGGTTCTTTTCAGGTTTTCAGGTCATATGAGTCTTGCAAGAGATGGACAGAAAGACGTCACTCTGAGGGAGGGACCATGTCTTCTCCATGCCGGGCCCCTGGCACAGAGCCTGGCAAAGAGCAAATGCTCAAAAACGATTTGCTGAAAAAAATGAACAAAGGGATGAATGTTCTGGGGTGCACATACCCCAAGTATGAGGAATGCTCTATTTTTTCCATTTGTGCATTTATGAACTTGGTAACTAACATTTGTTGAGCACCTGCTGTATGTACTAGGCCCTTGTCATTCGTGTTCTATTTACTTTTATTTATTTATTTTTAAAGATTTTATTTATTTGAGAGAGAGTGGAGGGAGGGGCAGAGGGAGAAAGAATCTCAAGCAGACCCCTGGCTGAGCGCAGAGCCCCACGCGGGGCTCCATCTCACGACCCTGAGATCATGACCTGAGCCAAAATCAAGAGTCGGCTGCTTAACCAACTGAGCCACCCAGGCGCCCTTCATGTTCTTTTTAATTCTCACAACCCTGTGAGGTCAGTATTGTCACAAAGTTTACGAGTCAGCAAACTGAGGCTCAGAGAGGTGAGGCGACTTGCCCAGAGATGCACAGCTAATAAGTGGCTGAGACAGAATTTGAAGCCAGAAGCTGCTTGCCTGGGGGCTCATGTATGTATGAGAAGGAATTCTGTAAACCTCAGGGCCACACACATGCTGTGATGATAAGGATTCCCCTCTGGGGCACCTGGGTGGCTCAGTCCTTAAGTGTCTACCTTTGGCTCGGGTCATGATCCCAGGGTCCTGGGATCGAGCCCCGCATCGCATCAGGCTCCCTGCTCAGCGGGAAGCCTGCTTCTCCCTCTCCCACCCCCCCTGCTTGTGTTCCCTCTCT